CCTTGAGAAAGTCTCCAGGCCCTGATGCAAATGGGACCCAGCAGACTCCCTGAGTTAACAAGACACCTGAGAGTCTGGAGATACTACAGCAGCTATTGTCAGATGATCAGAGAGGAGACAGCCTCAAAGAGAGAGATCACCAGAGATGTGCAGATAGTCCCCCTCAAGTCTTCATATAAGTGAGGAAACTAACAAAGGCTTGGGAAAGAACTGTTCAAATGGATTAGAGGAAACAGGACCCAACACTCACTCAGGGATAGGAATAAAGCCTGTTCCCACTAGCAAGACCAGAAAAGCCCAGACTTCATGGAACATTGAGTAGAGTACCCAGAAGGGTGTTTTTGAAGCGTCTTACTGAGAATACTCAGTAGTGGGGAATAATTAGCCCTAGACCAGCAATCTCCAAACTTTTTGGCACCAGAGACCAAAAAATTGTTTCTTGGAAGACAATTTTTGCCACAAATGGGGGTGATGAGGGCAGATGGTTTGGGATGAAGCTGTTCCACCTCAGATCATCAGGCATTAGTTAGATTCTCATAAGTAGAACACAACCTAGATCCCTTACATGCGCAATTCACTATAGGATTCATGCTCCTATGAGAATCTAATGCCACTAATCTGGCAGGAGATGGAGATCAGAGAGTAATTCTTACCATTGCTTGTAATGGCCCACCGCTTACCTGCTGCTGTGCAGCCCAGTTTCTAATGGGCTATGAACGGCTACTGGTACAAAGCCTGGGGGTTGAGGACCCCTGTCCTAGACTAAACACCGCTCAGTTCCTGTGTAACAAGGTTGACCCTTGAACATGTGTTTGAACTGCACAAGTCCACTTATGCTTGGATTTTCTTCCACTGCCACCCCGAGACAAAAACCAGTCCATTCTCTTCCTCCTCCTCCTCCTCCTCAGCTTAATCAACATGAAAAGAAAGAGAATGATGGTCCTTATGATGATCTACTCACACTTAATAAATAGTAAATATATTTTCTCTTCCTTTTGATTTCCTTAATAATACTTTCTTTTCTCTAGCTTACTTTATTGTAAGAATACAGTACATAATGCATATAACATATAAAATATATGTTAATTGACTGTTTATGTTACCTGTAAGGCTTCCAGTCAATATGTTATCAATAGTAGGCTATTGGTAGTTAACGTTTTGGGAAGCCAAAAATTATATATAGATTTTTTACTATGTGAGTAGTTGACAGGTGAAGTGGGTGGATCACCTGAGGTCAGGAGTTCAAGACCAGACTGGCCAATATGGTAAAACCCTGTCTCTACTAAAAATACCAAAATTATCTGGGCATTTATCTGGGCAATTATCTGGTGACACACGCCTGTGGTCCCAGCTACTCAGGAGGCTGAGGCACAAGAATTGCTTGAACCCAGAGGCAGAGGTTGCAGTGAGCTGAGATTGTTCCATTGTATTCCAAAAAGAAAACAAAAGTAAGACCTCAAAAAAATAACACTGTTTTCAAGTAACTTAGCTATATCTAAGAATAATAATAATCACACTAAATATAAATGTCTAAATGCTATTTATTTTGAAAGTCAGAGACTGTCAAATTGGATTTTTAAAAAGCAGCTATATGCTGCCTACAAAAAAAAAGAAATATATTTTAAATATACAAACAGAAATAGGTTGAACAATAAAAGATGAAATATGGTATACCATGCTAACACTAATAAAAAGAAAGTTTGAGTGGTGGTATCAATATCTGACAAGGTAAATTTTAGAGTAAATAATATTGCCAAAGAGTCAAATAATAATATTCAACTATTAATAATAGTCAAATTTTATATTTTATTTTATATTAATAATTCTTACTAATGATATCATTCTTATTATTCAAATAATATTGCCAGAGATTCAAAGTACATGAAGCAAGAGCTTCTAGAACTGCAAGAAGAATAGATGAAAACACTTACAGTCAGAGGTTTCATATCTCTCTCAATCACTGATAAGACAAATAGACAAAAATCAATAGGATATGAAAGACTTGAACATTATTAACCAACCTGACCTAAGTAACATTTAAAAAACATCCCATTCAATAGCAGAATACACATTTTTCAAATATACACAGAACGTTAACCAAGATAAATCATATTCTATGCTATAAAACTGTTCCTCGATACATTTTAGAGGATTCAAGCCATGCAAAGTGTTTAAAGACATCTCTAAAAAATACTCAAACATTTGGAAACTAAATAGCATACTTCCAAATAACCCATAGGTCAACAAAGCAATCAGAAGGAAAAATAGAAAGTATTTAGAAATAAGCCCAGGAGCGGTGCCTCATGCCTTAACCCCAGCACTTTGGGAGGCTGAGGCGGGCAGATCATGAGGTCAAGAGATCAAGACCATCCTGGCCAACATGGTGAAAACCCATCTCTACTAAAAATACAACAATTAGCTGGGTGTGGTGTCATGTACCTGTAGTCCCAGCAACTTCGGAGGCTGAGGCAGGAGAATTGCAACCCAGAAGGCGGAGGTTGCAGTGAGCCAAGACCATGCCACTGCACTCCAGCCTGGCGCCTGGTGACAGAGCAAGACTCTGTCTCTAAATAAATAAATAAATAAATAAATAAATAAATAAATAAATGTATTAAGAAATGAATAAAAATGAAAATGCAACATATCAAAATGTGCAGGACGCCACTAAGGCAGCACTTAGGAGAAATTTCACAGAACTAAACACCTGTATCAGGAAAGAAAAGAACAAACTAAATTAATGACCTCAGCTTTTGCCTTAACAAACTAGATAAAGCAGGGGGGATTGAACCTAAAGTAAGCACAGAGACAAGGTCATAGAGTAAAGCAGACATGAATGATACAGGGAAAAAAGATAATAACTAACAGCTGGCTCTTTGAAGAAACTGATAAAACTCATCAGGCTGGGGCCAGGCATGGTGGCCTGTAATCCCAGCACTTTGGGAGGCCGAGGTGGGTGGATCACGAGGTCAAGAGATCGAGACCATCCTGGTCAACGTGGTGAAACCCCATCTCTACTAAAAAATACAAAAAATTAGTGGGGCATGGTGGCGCATGCCCGTAATCCCAGCTACTCAGGAGGCTGAGGCAGGAGAATTGCCTGAACCCAGGAGGTGAGGTTGTGGTGAGCTGAGATCGCACCATTGCACTCCAGCCTGGGTAACAAGAGCGAAACTCCTTCTCAAAAAAAAAAAAAAAAAACTCATCAGACTAATTGGGAAAAAAAAGAGAGAAGATACAGGTTACCAATATCAGGAATGAGAGAGACAGATGACCTCCTCTTATAATCTATAGATATTAAAATTATGTTTAAAAATTATGAATTACTTTATGCTAATAAATTCACCAACTTAGATAAATTATTTCAAAGACATAAACTACTAAAGCTCATTCAAGAAGAAATAACTAACCCGAATAGCCCTTCATGTATTAAAGAAATTAAATTTGTCATTAAATATCTTCCCACAGAGTAAACAGGCCCAGATGGCTTCAAAGTAAATGGTACCAAACATTTAGGAAAGAAACACTACTAATTACTATACTACAAACTCTTCCATAAGACTGAAGAGGGGGGAATAATTCCCATATGAAGCCACCATTATCTGGATACCAAATCAGACAAAAAAAAAAAAAAAAAAACTGTGAGAAAAAACCACAAACTAATATTCCCTCATGAACATAGATGCAAAAATTCTGAACAAAATTTCAGCAACTTGCATTCAAAAATACGGAAAAAAAGATAATATATCATGACTGAGACATATCCTAGGAATGCAGGGTTGGATTAACAAGTTAAAAGAGTAAAAGCATGTGATCATATCAATAGATGCTGAAGCATTTGTTAATATCTAACTCTATTCCTGATTTTAAAATAATAAAACTCAGCAAACCGGAGATAGAAAAGAATTTCCTCAACCTGATAAAGGACATCACTGAAGAACTCACAGTCAGTATCATACTTAATGGTGAAAGACTGAACGTTTTCCCCAAAGATCAGGAACGACACTCTCACCACATCTTTTCAGCATTTCACTGGAGGTTCTAGCTCGTGCAATAAGGCAAAAAATAAATAAAAGGCAATTAAATTGGAAAGGAAGGAGTAAAACCGTTTTTATGCATAGAAAGCGTGGTTGTTTATGTAGACAACCCAATGGAACCTGCAGAAATCTACAAGGTCTAATAAACCAAATGCAAAATATATGAAGAATCAATTGTATTTCCACGTGATGACAATGAACAATTAGTTATCAAAATTAAAAAAGAAATGTTCCAGGTGGGGGAAAAACACTTCGTGGCCTTCCCAGATAATTCACAGGGTTCTCAAAAGCCTTTTATCCCAAGAACTGAATAAATGTAGCATCTCATATAGGCTTCACAAGGGAGACATTCTGGGGCATGTTTCCCACTGTCCTCAGATTATCCTGCCTGGCCAGACAGAGTGTCAGACAGCAGACAGGCAAGTTCTGACCTCAGTGTAATCTTCCAAGCTCACCACACTGAGTCCAGGGGCTTAACGAAGTCTCCAGCTCACTGACGGTGAGATACCTTCATGGTTCTAATCTCACTATCTACAAAAATGAGGTAATCTGGCCATCCCCACATAAGAGGACAGTTGTTCTGAAGCAGTTACTCAGTGTGAAAGAAGGCCAGGAAGGCAGAGAAGGAAGAGGAAGTGTCCTGTGGCTGGACTTGGGGTCAGCACTGAACAATCTCTCTCAGTTGCCTCAGATGTCAAATAGGAAAGTTCCTTAAGCCAAGGAGAAAGGAGCTGAGGATTGAGGCAGAGGCTGCCCTCAGAAGTTCTGAGCCAATGAGTTTCCAGAACAGAAGCCAATGCAAAAAACTTAAGAGAATTCAAAAAGCCAGTTCCATGGGTAAAGAAGCATAGAGGAATGCAACCCTATTACCTCACATAGGGCCCCTCTATTAACGTGCTAGACCTGACATCACAAAATGCCACAGACTGGGTGGCTTAAAAAATAGGAATTTACTTTCACCTCATTGTGAAGGCTAGACATCCAAGATCAAGGGGTGGGCAGAGTTGGTTCTTGTAGGCCTCTCTCTCAGCTGTGGATGGCTGTCTTCTCCCTGTGTCCTCACGTGTCTTACCTCCAAATGTATCTGTGTCTAATTCTCTTCTTCCTATAAGGACACCAGTCATGATGGATTAGGCACACTCTAATGACCTCGTTTTAACTTAATCACCCCTTTCAAGAGCCTATGCCCAAATACAGTCACATTCTGAGGGACTGGGGAATAGAATTTCAACATATAAATCTGGAGGGGACATAATTTGGCCCATAACCACCCCTCATATCCCTCCTCCTGCCTTTACCCTCTCCCATATATTTCCAGCCTCTGAAAGGTCCAGGATCCCTGTCAGTTCTTATTACAGTCAGAGATGAGGTCAGACAGATGCAGGGTTGCTCTCGCACACACCATCTTCCACTTGGTTCAAAGCCCACAGCCACTGCTCCGTCAATTCACTTAGGGATCCTTCGCACACACCATCTTCCACTTGGTTCAAAGCCCACAGCCACTGCTCCGTCAATTCACTTAGGGATCCTTAATGCCTATCACCAAGGTTTCACACCCCTAAAGGTAGGACCCTGAGCTCCAAGCACACCTTTTCTTCTCCCTCCTGATGCCAGTGAGGCTTTTCTCCCTCACCCTCCCTTGCCCAGTTCGTTTCATGATTACAACATCTAGGAAACCAGGATGACCTATTTAGGTTCTGACCCACTTACATCAGAAACACCAATCACCAACTGTGTCCAGAAGGGAAAAAAAGCAGATGACCACAAATGTAACCGATTGTAAGTAAAAAGCAATGGTGGAGAAGGAGCCTTCACAGGTACATCTGCTGCGGATGCCATTGCAAAATACCCTGAAGGGGAGCTGTTAAGGAAATTTGGGTATCCCCCTTTGGTATTCATGCACTGCGTGGGGTTTGCCAGCCTTGTGAGTGGACAATGAAATAAGTCCCTGTGCCTTGTCTTGCTCAGAGATGGGATGAGCATCTCCAGATGCCTGGAGCAAATGATTTCCTGCCAAGAGAGGGGACAACCCAATGCACAGGTGTGAACACTGAGGCATCAAGAGGAATACTGGGTCAGTTTTCTTTATTTCTACCAGACCAAGAATGGATTCAATTAGTTTGGAAGCTTCTGGAACAGAGGCTTTTACAGTAAATACCAATTTGAGTGGCTGCCTGGCTCACCACAGCGGTTTCTTTCCTCTAGGAATGGTTCATTTCCTAAGGGCAGTTAAGTCTTTGCTTCATGACCCTTAATCTCCTGGGCATGACATATCATTCCCAAGAGAGACACCTGATTCAAGCCTGAGCCAATTAGATTCTCTGTCTTGGGAATTTAAGTCTTAAGGAGCTATAAAAGACTGGAGAGCTCTAGAGTCCCTTGAAGACTCCTAATAAGGGGGCAATGGGGCACCCTGTCAGGCCTGGTTCCTGCTCTTCCAGACACCTGGCTAGTCTCCCCTTCTATCCATCCTAGAAACCACCCAGGATCCTTCCTATTAATTGCCCATTTGGCTTATATTTGTCAGGGTTGCTTTCTGTTCATTGGTATCAAAGAAATCACAAATGTTATTCTACTTTTTTCATCTTTTGGTCCAAGTACCTACCACAAGATTTAATGTGTGGTAAATATTCAATTACTTTGTTTAAGATTTATGAATGCCCAATATCCCTCCCCACTGATCAACCTCACATGAGATATGATAGAACCTTCTGTGGCGGACAGGAAAACGTTCACTGGTGCCGACCTCTCCTGACACAAGTTATATGAAGACTCAGGATTTCCCTGATAAGGGAAGACACTTTAAAATTTTCCAGCAGAAACAATAACCTGATATGCGAGACACAAAGCAGGTCAGAGGTGGGGAATATTGGGCCCTCATCTTTGCTGACTTGTGGGTTACATCTGCAGTGAGAAAAGAGAAACTTCTTGAGGGTGGTGGGCACTTCTCTGGCTGGCTGGAATCAGCAACTGTAAAATAAGGCTCTTCCCTGTATGCCTACCCTAGGCAGAACTTCACTCATTATATCCTCACTGGGGCTCCTAACGTGTATATTCTTCCTACAGAACTTCCATCTCTTATCCACCCAGCCAGCCATCCCTACACCCACGTCTTCATCCATCAACCACCCACTCCAGCTTTAGTATTCACTGGGTTCCTGGCTGTGCCTCTCGGTAGCCACGCCAGTGTACAGTGGGTGGACAATGCTCTAGGGTCACTCCAAGCCCTCCACTCACCCCTAGAGATCTATAGCATCCTTCTCAAGGATCATTTCAATCTCCACCCCTTGCTTCTGTCATCCAAATTTCACTGTATCAATGCTAGTTTCCCCAGATGCCAATTTAACCAGGTCACTTTCCTATTCAAACACCCTCATCAAAGCCCAAATGCTTAGCTTGACTAAATTCAAGGACACCCAAACCTGAATCCAACGTATGTTTTAAACTTTTATCTTTATTCTTCCAATGTATGTCCACCAGGAAACCTCTAGTCTCACAGAAACAGCCTGCTGGCCACCTCACTGCTGAGCAGATGGGTGCAAGCCTGAAGATTCCAGAAGCCACATTGCCATCACATGGAGAAAAAGAAGCCAATGTAGAGAAAGCAGAACTGAGAGATGGAGAGACAGAGATTCCCCAATGACATCACTTGAGAACAGAGATCGGGGATCGGGCCTCGGGCCTCAAGTTAAGTCTACCTATGGATTTCCTGGCTATAATGTCCCGCCCACACTTTTTTTGACTTGATTCTTTTTGTCTTCACAATGGAAAGATTACTAATACATCCACTTACTCCATATGGCCTATTTTGGGTAATGGCTCTTGTCTCCAATTTCCTATAATATTATGGTCTGTATCACTCACATGAGCCTCACCACACACTGCATAGTGACAGGGATTTATTGACCCTTTTACACAGGTGAAAGGCTGTTATTATTCCCAGTCCCTTCTCACCAAGCCCCCTGCATCCCAACTTGCTAAAACCAATGTCTGGTTCAGTGGTCAGAGGGGCAGGCTGGACCATATGACCCAGCAGTTCCATTTCTGGGCATATCCCCAAAAGAACAGAAAGCAGCAACGTGAACAGACAATTTGTATACCCCTCTTCACAGCAGCATTTTTCACAACAGCCAAAAGGTGCAACCAGGGGGAGCAGAGACTGTTCAATCGTCCTGAGCTAATGACCCACACTTTCCTTTCAGAGCCTACTCCAGCTGAGCCTTGGACGGCTTCCAGTAGCCAGTCTGGTCAAGTTATCTGCCCACAGGGACCAGCTAGGGGAAGGAGGTGAAAGATGTCGAAGTAGGAGGAGGAAGAAAGGAGAGATCAAAGTCAGAGGAAGAGGAAGCCACAGTCTCACAAAGGCCACAACTACTGATGGGCACAGCCTGTGAGATGACACCAAGGAACGAAGGGCCAAGAGTGAAGCTGCAAGCCAGGCAACAGCAGCAAGACGTGCTCCCTCCGCTTATGGTGCCCATCCCTCCACTTAATCCCCAGCTGCTCCTGAGACAACCCTGCAAGGGAGCCCTAGGGGACAGAACTTCCCATAGAGGGCAGGTGCAACAGGGGAAGCCCCGGCCATCAGCAAAATGTCTGCTCGGCACCTCCTCCTCTTGCCCTCCCCCAGCAGAGGCCTAGAGTCTCACTGCCTTTAGAGGCCAGGATGACCTGATGCAGCCACCACACGGCACTTCCGGAGCCCAAAGGCAGACTCCTGGGAGTCATAGCACCACTTGAATTTGCTTCCCGGGGCAGTGTTTCCCCACCATCATTGCAACTCAGAGAACATTTGAGAACAAAAAAGCAAGAGAATTCATGGTGCCAACAAGGTGCACTGGTTGTAACTTACAGGAAGCTGGGGTCCATTACTCAGTCAGCTTGGCAAGGTTTTAAAACGGGGTTTCCCGAGGGCTGTCTGAAGAGCTCTAGGGTTGCAGATAGACATCTTGGTGACTCTGCAGAGGGTGAAAAGGAGATGAAAAGTCAGAGCTGTGTGCATCCCCCTCCCACTTCAGCCTCAGCAGCTCCACTTACGGCTCTCTTAGCTTCCTGGTTTTGGGCAGAGGCAGGGTGGGAGCTGTTTTGTGTTTAGCATTTTAACAATTTTTAGTACATTCATATTGTTTTACTACCATTGTCACCATCCATCCACAGCACTCTTTCCATCTTGCAAAACTGAGACCCTGTACCCATTAAACAATAACTCCCCACTCCCCATTCCCCCTAGCTCCTGGAAATTACCATTCTGTCCCTGTGAATTTGACTGCTCTAAGCAGAATTGTACTGTGTGTCTTTTTGTGACTGGCTTATTTCATTTAGCATAATGTCACCATGGTTCATTCATATTGTAGCATGTATCAGAATTTCCTTCCTTTTTAAGGCTAAACCATATTTCATTGTGTGTGTGTGCGCACGCGCGTGTGTGTGTGTGTATTTTGTTTATCCACTCACCAGTCAATGCATAGTTGGGCTGCTTCCACATTTTTGGCTATTATAAAAAGTGCTAGCCAGATCATGACTATAATCCCAGCACTTTGGGAGGTTGAGGCAGGAAGATCACTTGAGTTTAGGAGTTCAACAGCCCAGACAACATGTTGAAGCCCTATCTCTACAAAAAAAAAAAAAAAAAAAAACACAAAAAAAATTAGCTAGGTATGATAGCATATGCCTGTATAGTCTCAGCTACTCGAGGTAAGGGGACTGAGATGGGAGGATCACTTGAGCCCAGGAGGTCAAGGTTATAGTGAGCTATGATCATGCCACTGTACTTTAGCCTGGGTGACAGAGTGAGACCCTGTCTAAAAAAAATGCTGTGATGGATACGGGTGTACAAATGTCTGTTCATGTCACTGCTTTCAATTCCTTTGGGTATATATCCAGAAATGGGACTACAGGATCATATGGTAATACTATTTTTAATTTTTTTGAGGAACCTCCATACTTTCTATAGCAGCTGCACCATTTTACACTTCCCCTAACTATGCACAGGGTTCAATTTCTCCACATCCTCCCCACCACTTGTTATTTTCTGAGATATTTTATCATGGCCATCCTAATGGGTATGCTTTTAAAAATTTTGTTTAAAAAGCCTCCACAGCTAAGGTTTGGAAAACACTGCTCTAAAGCACACCCTTCATCCTTCCACATCATTTGACCCAGCAGACCCAGGCTGGGTGATCTCTTCCTTCCATGCCATCGGCGTATTGTAGCAGATACCCAGCTCTGCACCAGCCAGGCTTTGGATCCAGCCTGTCCACCCATGCCCCTGAGGAATTTTGCAGCTTCAGTAAGTGGAGAGGCATTGCCAGCTAATAATTCCTGACTGGGGGTGGTAACCTAATGTAGGAGCCACTGCTCTGAGATAGGAGGCCTCAGACATTCGAGGATACCTCCTCATGCTGGCCAGATGCTTCCAGGTTGGACACCTGGTCATTTCAAGAGCCAAGGCAGCACAAGGACATGGAAAGAGCATTCAAGTCCAGTAATCTCTTGCTGGAAACCATTCCATGCTACTAACCAGCCATTGACCTTAGGACCTGTAGATTAATACTGACCCACCCCCAAAGAAGTTCATAGCATAATCCCAAGAACCTATGACTACGTACCTTATGTGCAGATGTGAAGAAGCTAAGGATCCTGAGAGTGAAGATTTTCCTGGATTATCCAGTTGGGCCTGATATAATCACAGGAGTCTTTATAAGAAGGAAGCAGAAATCAGAGAGAGAAGGCAGCTCGACAACAGCAGCAAACAGGGGAGTGGTACAGCCACAAGCCAAGGAATGTGAACAACCTCTAGAAGCTGGGGGAGCCAAGGAATCAAGACTCCCTAGGAACCTCAAGAAGGAACCAACTCTTCCAGCACCTTGACTTTAGCTCCATAAGACTCGTTTCAAGGTGACTATTGGTGGATGGGGGCTGTTGTTAGAGGAACCAACAATGTGATTGGGGGGTTGAGACCTTCAGCCCCACCCCCAGACTGCTGGAGAGGAGAGAGAGGCTGGGGATAGAGCTAATCACCAATGACTAATGATTTAATCAATTATGCCTACCTAAGAGAACCTCCATCAAAACCCCGTAGAACAGAGTTCCAAGAGCTTACCAAGTGATGAACGCAGGGAGGTGCTGGGAGGGTGGCACTCCTGGAGAGGGTGAGAAACTGCTGCCCCCTTCCCTCATGCTTTATCCCCTGGATCTCTTCCATTTGGCTGTTCCTGAGTTGTATCCTTTATAATACACCGGTAATAGTAAGTAAAGTGGTTTTTTTAATTAAATTTAAATTTAAAAAAAGACTTCTGACACCCAGACCTGTAAAATAATAAATGTGTGCTGTTTAAAGCTATGCGTGTTGTAGTGACTTGTTACAGAAGAAATAGGAAACACTTTCAAGACCTCTCTGGGTCTGTTTCCTCCTCTGCAAGATGAAAGGCTCTGGTCTAAATACGTTTTTGTTGCCGTTGTTAGGATACAAGTTTCACAAGTTAAATATTTTTTTACTTTCTTTCTAGCTCTCCTGATGAGAAGAATTAATTGAGTACTTGAGATGTGCCAGGTCCTGTTCTAAGTCCTTGGTATGCATTACTTCTTCAAACCTCAAAACAAGGCTGTAGTCAAGGTACCATTCCCAGATCAAGAAAGAAAACCAAAGAACAGAGAGGTAAAGCCACTTGCCCAAAGCCACGCAGTTGTAAATGGCAGAGTGAGGATTTCAACCCACAGTCTGGCCCTAGAGAAGCTATGATCTTAACCAGCAAGCAAAGTCAGTACTGGTGTTCCAGTTAGGGATGAGGAAGCCCAAGACCTGGGCAAGGCAACACGGCTAGATAGAAGCAAATCTAGATCTCACGATGCCAGGGATTTCCCCAGCCTTGCGCTTGATTGCCTAGCTTCCAAAGCACATTTGGACAGCGAATGAAAATCATAAGCATCCAGTTGCCCTCTGAGTCCTCAAATCCAACTCTCACTTAGACTCCCCAGTTCTGTTCCCTCTCTCTATTGTTAACTCCTCTGTTCTTTAAAGGAAGTGAGATAAATGAACCACGTGGATGCATTTTCTTTCTCTCCTCCCACTTCCGCAGCTCAGTTTTTGCTTTGTCACCATAAATCACTGGCAATCCAAAAAATGGTTTCAGAGAAAATGGGCCCTCTTGGTTTGACGGCTGTGTAAATTTCCATCTCCTCCATGCATGTCTTACTTTTCAGAGGAGAACAAAAAAACCTTTATTGGCTTTAGCACATGTATACGAGTTTAAATACAAACAAATACATCTCCATTGACTGTAGTTACTATGCTCAGTTTCATGCGATGTAAGTGCTTCAAATAAAAATAGATTGGTTATAGGGAGGGTGCATCAGTTCTAATAACGATGCAGCCCGTTTCTGTAGATCATGTGTTTCAGTTAATGTTCCCTCAGCTTGCAGAAGGGGAAGCACATTGCTTCATGGACGTTTTAGGCTCCAATTTTTCTGACTAAATGCTCCAAGTAGGTGTGAATGTTTATTAGTGTTATGAAATGCATCTGGCAGGCAAAATCTAGACTTCACAGGAGAGACCAGAGTGTAATTGCTGAAAATGGGCCAGACTGGGCAGGAAGTGCAAATTCTGTGGTGTGCAAGCCCAGCACCAGCATATACAACCAAATATATAGGCAGCTCTTAGTGCATGCTTGCCACCAGGCTAGGATGGACCCAGGACCGAATACTTATAATTACCTATTTATACCTGTCTCCCAAATGAGGTTATGGCTCATGAAAGGGAGAGCATCTCTCTGTTCTTACCATCACCAATTCCTTAGTTAGGGTAAATGCATGGGGCTTGGCATTGGATAATCTGAATTCAAATTCTAGCCCCATCATTTAAATAGTAAGCAAACATTCATGGAGCACTGACTGTATACCAGAACTGTTCTTGGTGCCGAGGCATGGAGCAAAGTCTCTGGCCTTCTGGAGCTTAAATTCTAGGGTTGGAGGGGTTGACCCCAAGCAAGCCGTATCCCTTGAGTGGCAGAGTCTTCACCAGTAAGATGGAGATAATAGGACCTGCTTCATGAGGTTGCTGTGAAAATTAAATGAGAAAATTCATCTAATGCACAGGGCCTGGCACACAGGAAGGACTCAGTGTCAGCTGCTGTCATGATCATTGCCAGTTTTCCTATTGGACACCTCTTACATGCCACTTCAGATCCTCTGGCCTCATCTCATTCCAGCCACTGCTGCAGCAAGCAATTCAGTGTGCCCACTGACAGGTTCACGTAGGTACAACTGACAGCCTGGCCCCATGTGTTGTGGGAGAGACCCAGTAGGAGATAATTGAATCACGAGGGCAGTTCCCCCATACTGTTCTCATGGTAGTGTGGTAGTGAGCAAGTCTCATGAGAGACATCTGATGATGAGGGGTTTCCCCTTTCACTTGGCTCTCATTCTCTTTTGTCTGCTGCCATGTAATACTTGCCTTTCACCTTCTGCCATGATTGTGAGGCCTTCCCAGCCACGTGGAATTGTGAGCCCATTAAACCTCTTTTTCTTTGTAAATCACCCAGTCTTGGATATATCTCCATCAGCCCATGAAAATTGACTGATACAGTAAATTGGAATCAGTAGACTGGGGTGCTACTGTAAAGATACTGAAAAATGTGGAAGCGATTTTGGAACCGGGTGACAGGCAGAGGTTGGAATAGTTTGGAGGGCTCAGAAGAAGACAGGAAGGTGTGGGAAAGTCTGGAACTCCCTAGAGACTTGTTGAATGGCTTTGACCAAGATGCTGACAGTGATACGGACAAAAAAGTCCAGGCTGAGGTAGTCTCACATGGAGATGAGAAACTTGTTGGGAACTGGAGCAAAGGTGACTTGCTGTGCTTCAGCAAAGAGACTGGTGGCATTTTGCCCTTGCCCTAGAGATCTGTGGAACTATGAACTTGAGAGAGATGATTTGGGGGATGTGGCAGAAGAAGTTTCTAAGCAGCAAAGCATTCAAGAGGCAGCAGAGCATAAAAGTTTGGAAAACTCACAGCCTGATGATGCAATAAAAAAGAAAAACCCATTTTCTGGGGAGAAATAAGCCAGCTGTAGAAATTTGCATAAGTAACAAGGAGCCCAATGTTAATCACCAAGACAAAAGGGAAAATGTCTCCAAGGCACTTCAGAGACCTTCACAGCAGCTCCTCCCAGCACAGGCCCAGAGGCTTAGAAGGAAAAATGGCTCCAGGGTCCTTGTTCTGTGTAGCCTATGGAGCTGGTATCCTTCATCCCAGCTGTTCCAACCATGGCTAAAAGGGGCCAAGGTATAGCTCAGGGCATGGCTTCAGAGGGTATAAGCCCCAAACTTTGGCAACTTCCATGTATGTACCATTGAGCCTCCAGGTACACAGAAGTTGAGAATTAAGGTTTGGGAACTTCCACCTAGATTTCAGAGGGTGTATGGAAACAGCTGGATGTCCAGGCAGAGGTGTGCTGCAGGGCAGAGCCCTCATGGAGAACCTCTGCTAGGGCAGTGTGGAAAGGAAATGTGGGATGGGAACTCCCACACAGAATCCCTACTGGGGCACTGCCTAATGGAGCTATGAGGAGTGGGCCAACATCCTCCACATCCCAGGTGCACTGTGCACCTGGAAAAGCTGCAGACATTCAACACCAGCCCACGAAAGCAGCCAGCAGGGAGGCTATGCCCTGCAAAACCACAGAGGTGGAGCTGCCCAAGACCATGGGAACCCACATGTTGCATTAGCATGACCTGGATATGAGACATGGAGTAAACAGAAATAATTTGGGAGCTTTAAGATTTGACTTCTCCACTGGATTTCAGACTTGCATGGGGCCTATAGCCTCTTTGTTTTGGCCAATTTCTCCCATTTGGAAAAGCTGTATTTACCCAATGCCTGTACCCACATTGTATCTAGGAAGTAACTAACTTGCTTTTGATTTTACAGGCTCATAGGCAGAAGGGACTTGCCTTGTCTCAGATGAGACTTTGGACTATAGGCCTTTGAGTTAATGCTGAAATACTTTCAGAGACTATTGGGAAGACATGATTGGTTTTGAAATGTGACTGACATGAGATTTGGGAGGGGCCGCTGGTGGAATGATAGGGTTTGGCTGCGTACCCACCCAAATCTCATCTTGAATTGTAGCTCCCATAATTCCTACAATTCTTGAATTGTAGCTCCCATGTGTTATAGGAGGGACCCAGTTGGAATTGATTGAATCATGGGGCAGTTTCCCCCATACTGTTCTCATGGTAGTGAATAAGTGTCATGAGATCTGATGGTTTGATAAGAGGTTTCCCCTTTCATCTGTGTCTCATTCTTCTTTGTCTGCCACCAATTATAATGTGCCTTTTGCCTTCTGCCATGATTGTCAGGCCTTCCCAGCCACAAGGAACTGTGAGCCCATTAAACCACTTTTTCTTTATAAATTACCCAGTCTCGGGTATGTCTTTATCAGCAGTGTAAAAATGAACTAATACAGTGTCTATGCAGCCTGAAACTATGGTGGAGTTAGCATAGCAGGGAAAACCTTTAATAACTGTGTTGTGGTTGAACTGCATCCCTCAAAAAGATATGTTGACATGCTAACCCCTGTGTTTGTGAATGTGACGTTATTTGGAAACAAGATCTTTGCATATGTACTCAAGTTAGGATGAGGCTATACTTGATTAGAATGATTCCTAAGTCCAATGACTAGTTTCCTTTTAAGAAAGGGATTTGGGCCGGGCGCGGTGGCTCAAGCCTGTAATCCCAGCACTTTGGGAGGCCGAGGTGGGTGGATCATGAGGTCACAAGATCGAGACCATCCTGGTCAACATGGTGAACCCCAGTCTCTACTAAAAATACAAAAAATTAGCTGGGCATGGTAGCGCATGCCTGTAATCCCAGCTACTCAGGAGGCTGAGGCAGGAGAATTGCCTGAGCCCAGGA